GATCAAAACCTGGCTATGCCAGAAGGCCTGGGGGCCAGAGGGGGGCCGCACCTGTGGAGATGGCTGGTGGGGTGATGGGTTGCCCCCCCCCCAGCATCTTACAGGACAGAAATTAAAAAATAAATTAATACTGCTGTTGCTATGTTAGAGAATGGACTGAAAGTAACAACATGAAATTTAATAGTGATAGAGGCAAAGTTCTTCATTTAGGAAACAAAACTCAAATACCCAGAGAATGAGGGCTGCTTGGCTTGGTGGTAATCTTTATAAAAGTAATAATCTTGGAATAGTAACTGAGTGCAAAATTGAATTGAATTTCATATTGAAATTGCAAATTGAGATGTGATGTGGCTGCAAAAAGGGCAAATGCAATTTTAGATTTTATCAACAGAAATAGTTTCCAAATCAGAGAAATAATAGTTCTACTTCATTCTGCTTTAGTTTGACCCAACCTCAAATAATGTGTCCTATTTGGGCACTATTGCTGTAAGAAGAATTCAGATTTCATATATCTCTTTTCATATGACTACTTCTAGTCCCCTAATCATCCTCATTGTCCTCTGAGCCTTTTTCATTTTCTCTGAATTCCTCTTACAGCAACAGTGTCCAGAATAAGACATAGTATTCAAGGTTGGGTCTTGAACAAGAAGACAACTGAAGGGGGACTATCAGGAACTGGTAAGTTATTTGGATGTTCCTTAAGAAACAGTAGGAAATATGTTCCTGTTATACAAGAATCCTACTAGTATTACCAACATACCAAATATTTTCCTGACTTATTGATTTGGAACTCTTCTGTTTATTTTAGTAACATAACTTAGTGGAATGTGGAGAGAAGATTTGGATCAAGATATGGATCAAGATTTAAGTAGTGTTAATTGTTCAATTTTAAAAAATCAACTGAAGTTAGCATTTCTTTGTATTGAATTAAGTTACAAGCTGGCTGTTGATAAAAGTCTTTACTCTTTAGAATACCTTTACATATCTTTACCTTATAGGAGTTGCTCAGGGTTGACTTTTGAATATTTGTTAAGATCAATATTTGCATAGGGTTATAATCTGAATTATAGAACCAGTCTGGTGTAGTAGTTAGGGCATCAGGCTAGAAACTGGGAAACCGTGAGTTCTAATCCTGCCCAGTCACAAAGCCAGCTGGGTGACCTTGGGCCAGTCATTTTCACTCAGCCCTAGGAAGGAGGCAATGGCAAACCACTTCTGGAAAACCTTGCCAAGAAAACTGCAGGGACTTGTCCAGACGGTCTCCAAGAATTGGAAATGACTGAACGAATTAAAGAAAAAAGCTGAATTACAGGTAGTCCTTGCTTAACAACCATTCATTCAGCAACCGTTCGACGTTACAATGGCACTGAATGAATAGTAGTTACAACCAGTCCTTGAAGTTATGGTCATTGCAGTGCCCCCACAGTCATGTGATCAAAACTGTGTGCTTGGCAGCCCGCCCACATTTATGACTGCAGCGTGCACTTCAGCTCCCCCCCACCTATCTTCCCCCATCTCTGCCCTTTTGGCTGCCCTGCACTCCACTGACTTTTGCCCCTGCCACCCCCTGCCCCTGCTGTACCCTGCCAACCTTACTGACTTCTTCCTCCCACTGCTGATGAGGCGTGCCCAGCCAAGGCAGCTGCTGCACCTTTGTGATGCCTTGCAATGCCTCCATGTGGAGCCTCACAGTGGTCTCGCAAAGGGCCAGTAGTTGCCTCATCTGGGAGTGTGGGGGGAGATAGGTGGCTGGGTGGAGGCGAGCTCTGCAGGGTGGCGCAGACTCATCTGCCAAGGGAGCTTGCTGAGCCTGGCTGGGGAGGAGGCAGGGGGATGGAGCCAGCAGTTTGTGCAAGGCAGGAGAAGCATGAGGTCCTTGCCTAACAACAGCACAGTCCTCGCCTTACAACTGCAACCAGAACTGCTGTTGCTAAGTGATATGGTCACGTGATGTTTCGCCTAAGGACCGCTTCACTTAGCAATGGAAATTCTGGTCCCAAGGACTGCCTGTAATTCTTAGAAATTATTCTCCTAGCTAAATCAGCTACTTGGCTCCTAGTAACTTAACCACTCTAAGTTATTCACTCTAACTTGCTTTATGTAAACCCAGTCACTTTACTGCTAAAAAATATACTCAGGTACACAAACAGAATTTCACACTGACATACCCTTTTATCCAAATATCCTAGTTTTCCTACTTCTAGTTATATACCCCCTCCCTCTCCCTCTCATAGGAATCCAGCTGAGAGAAGGCGCTCTGCTTTAAAATGAAAAGGTTTCATTTAGCCAGTCATCACAGGCTGCTAGTTTCAGAAACAAGAGAATGTAGATAGTGGCTTATGAATGTAGAGAAATACAATAGATCTTTACCTGCTAATTTTATAATTTTATACAATTTGCCTCTTTCTAATATTGTGTATGGCCTGTTCTTTTTGTAAAAATGACATTAAATCATTTTGGAGGGGTGATCCTGTGATTTTAAAACTTCTATGTTTCTCTTGATGCTGGTGGTTAAAAATATTTGAAAATTCCTTTGAACATACAAAGCATTATCAAAATGCTAATTAGTTTCATTCCATCTCTTTGGTTAAAAAAATGTCTGTATTTGTGTTTGGCTGAGAGTCTAATTCAGTTGGTTAATTTAAAAATATCAGTGTCAGAGATGGAGTACATCCAAAGAGCATCTTGGAAGGGTAAAACTGATCCTTTAGATGAGTTTACCTGCATTAGGGAAATCAGTTTTATAAAGTCTTAAGGTCACTCTTATGCTTTAGTTTATTAGTGCTTATTAAGAGGAGAAGAGTAAATTAGGTCAGCATCAGTCACTGCAGTGTGAATCGTCCTTTATTTTGGCTCAGATTGTTAAATTAACATGCCAGTTTGGTGGAACCAGAGTTTTTTTGTTCAAAAAAGGTCACTTTAGAGGGGATAGTAATATTCCCTTTTTAAATTAATTTTTACTGAGTTTTAATAAACATAGTAAAAACTAATACAAACTAAATTAAAAGAAAAAAGAAAAAGAAAAGTGCAGAAAAAAGAAAAAGACATTTAAAAAGAAGTGGCTTCCAACCTTCATCACAACAAGCATAAGCTAATATACTAACTTTGCACCCTCATTTAAAGTTACAAATAGAAAAACTCCTCTCCTCAGAGCTTAACTTTTATCTATACGCAATCCAGAAATCATCATCTTTTTAGTCCTAGTTCAGCAAAAAGTCCATTAGGAGTTACCAGAAATATCAAACAAAGAGTTTATCCCTGATCAAATAGTCCAACTTTATATTCCTTCTTTTTGCTCTGCACAATCTATGGCATCACAGGATTTGATCTTTCATCACTCTTCAGTATTTAAAAGAAGTCTTCAAAGCTTTCACCAGGCTACTTTGTAAATCCCATAAAGAGGCATTGTCCAGAATTTCTTGTCACAGCTGTTCCAGATCCAGATCCAGATCCTTTCTTCTCATAAAGAAGCATCATCCAGAATTTCTTGTTGCAGCTGTTCCATGTCCAGATCCTTTTCTTGATTTGTCT